CAATAAATGTAACTGTATGAATGAAAAATTTGTTGCATTAACACTGGTCAGAAAAATCCGAACAAAATCCGTTTAGATTAGCTATTTTTTGGGGTGTTTTTAAAAAAATTTACTGTAGTAGAGTTTTTAGATTATATTTTGGAATATTTTTAGAAAATATTTTGGGATATTTAAGAATAGAAGAGTTTCTAAAATATATTTTGAGATATTTTTTAAAATTTTAAAAAATTTAAACTAATTTTTAGATTATCTTTTAGAGTACTTTTTAAAAATTTTATTGTATTTAAAAAACTAGTTTTTGAAAAACACTCCCATTCTTTTTTGTAAAACCACAATATATAATTAATTTGTTCTCTCTTTACTTTCCCTTATGCCCATTAAATAATAAAGAACCCAAGAAAGAAAAAAGGAAAGGAAATCTATTCAAAAATCATGCTACCTTTGCAAAAATAATAGTATACTAATTTACACCAATGTGGCTGAAATGGGCTTCCCATAATTCAAGAAAATTTCTTGCTTACCTATGATTAAAATACTCGAAAGTACTAACTAGCCAATAATGTGGCTGAAAGGTTTTGTAGCTAAGGACTAGAGTGTCCTGACAAGCCACATTCCATGATAAAAATGAAAAAGAAGGCAGCTAAAGGCAAATGAAAAACCAGCAGGGCTTTTTTTGTCATAGGGGAAAGGGCACGGAGACGAAAATTAGGAGCATAAGAAAGTCAAACGGGCTACTGGTAATAACCTCCAAAATGGTTTCTTGAGTACATTTTTTTGCAGCAATTGGTTGGACAATGGAGTTTAGTGGGTCCCCCTTAGATGATTGATTTTCAAGCATTATTGAAAAGAGTATGTTTTTTTAGCTTGGCATATAAGATTTTTTGAATGCGTGTGTTCACTCTATAATCTAAGAATATTTTAGTCCTCGTTGTAAAGGTTGGGACACTTTTGTTTGTTCTACAAGTGCCAGAGGAGTAGTTACATTGTGAGATAGACTCAGTCAGTTGCTTGTTGTACTAATTTCCATATTTATGAATTCTCTACTGAAGAAAACCTAGAAAAAAGAAAGTTCAATAAATTTCTTAAAAAATAATTTATATAAATATATATATATATATATATATAATAAAACATGTAATGGATTAATTTAAAACTTTATATGATGAAAAGTTTAATATTTTCAAAGAACTCAAATTTTCACAAATAAAAATTTTAAATTATAAGTTGCAACAAATAAATTTCATTTCATTCTCAATTGTATCTATCAAAAAATAATCTTAAATCTAATCCAAAAATACGACAATATTCTCAAAATTATACAAAATTCACGACCATGAAAATTAGACATGTGAGTTTAAATTTTTAATTCACGTTTTTTAGATTTAGAGATTGCAACTTAAAAAAAAAAGTTTGGAGTTTGGACTTTAGAGAAAGTCAGGAAAATATAAAATAGAGATGCAAACCTGATAAGAGGCAAAAAAATGAGAAGAAAATGAGTGGATGTGGTATTTAATAATTAGTCTTTAGGGTTAAAAAAACTTATTTTTTGATATATATAATTTTTTCAATTTAATAGACAAAAATAAAAAATTTGTTGGTTCAACGGTTCAATTCGGTTCGTAAGGTGCAAACGATTATTATCGATTTTTAAGTCCTATCAATTCGAGGTTTGAATCGGATTGAAATTATGATCGGTTCATGGTCCGATTGATCAAACCGATCAGTCCGGTTCGATTTTCAAAACCATGCAAAAAGGCAAATGTGTAGTGCAACTTTTCAACAAAACTGCAGTAGCGCTGCTTAATTACGGCAATATAGCCTTATGATGCCACATACAAAGTGCAGCCATAGGCGCACAAGTGCTATATACTCATTCGCTACCCCTCTAGATACCCATTCTTATATGTAACGTAACAACCACAATGTAAGGAGCTAGATTGTCATAAAAAGAGTTCAGCCTGGCAAATATGACTTTCAAATTTAAGGTTGGCCGATAACAAAACTAAAATAATTATAGTAGTTATACTAAGGATTAATTGAACCACATAGTTGGCCAATAATTCCATCTATATTCATTGTATATGGCAGCAAATGAAAATACTACTGTAATACCATGGTCATAGTGCAATTAAGTATGAAGTTTATATTACATCAGTAATATTGTTTAATTATCATCCTGCCTACTGTCAGGCACAGGGACTTAATTGCAATTAGATCGAAAGTTTAGAGGGCATTAGTGTAATTACGCATATGGAGCCAATTTGTTAAAAGTTAGTTATAACTGATTTTGCTGAAAGAGTAGTTAGTTGCACGGAAATTCTTGCCAATAAGATTATGTTTAATCATTGAATGTGTATAAATCCAGGCAATGTAATAGATTTGGGGACAGGAAGTTAATCACATTTATTTCCCCTCAAATTCTCTGTCTCTCCCATCCACTTTCTCTCTCTCTCTCTTTTCCGTCTCATTTCTCTTCTTCTACATTCAAACCTTTCCACGCCTGCTGGTCTCAACTCTCCTACTATCACATTGCCAAGGGTCTGACAAATTGGTATCAGAGTTGACTGATCCTTGGCCAGCTACTGAAATCCAAATGGCAGAAAGCACTCGATTCAAGATTTTGGAGGATCATCTCAAGAAGCAAGAACAGAAGCTGCAGGAAGTCATGGAGGACGTCAGAAGTGTACAACAGCAAGTGAAAGAGGAAATGAAAGGTAGAGATCAACGTATGGATTCAATTGTGATTGGAATGGAACAGAAATTCGAAGCACTCAGTTCGATAATGAAGACACTGTTAATCAAGGAGAAGAGTACAGGTGATGAGGCTAAGATGGGGAGAGATCGAACACCATTGCTGCCAACACCACCTAGTCACCAGAGGTTGAATTTGGAAGCAGGAACTGAGGCGAAGGACTGTGAATTCTTAGGTAAGATCTCAGGCCATTCCCTTCCTAAACTTGAATTGCACCGGTTCGGGGAGAGAATCCACATGAGTGGATCAGGAAATGCAACAAATATTTCATGTTGCATAGAATCCAGGAGGAACATAAGCTACTGGTGGTGGAGATGTTTTTGGAAGGGAAGGCTGATATGTGGTTTCAGGGGGTCAAATTGGAGAAACCACGGTTAACATGGAGAGAATTCAAGGGGACCTGTTGTAGGGAAATTGTGGAGGAATTCAACAAATTGCAGCAAACCAACACAGTGGAGGCTTATCAGGAGAAGTTTGAGGAATTGAAGACATTGATGTTGATTCAAAATCCCAACTTGAGTGAAGAATACTTCATTTCTAGCTTTACAAGTGGCCTCAAGGAGGAAATTAAGCCTATGGTACGAATGCTCAAGCCAAACACTCCCTCAGGAGTCATAGAGATAGCTCATTTGCAGGAACAGACTATTAAGTTGCAAGGAAGGACAGTAAAGGAAGGTAACAAAGTGATGGCTGAACCAAGGTTTGGAATGTACAGGCATCCTACAGCTATGAATGGGGGAGTCAGCACTTACAAATTACACTAATGCCCTCTAAACTTTCGATCCAATTGCAATTAAGCCCCTGTGCCTGACACCTACGTCATGCATGACCTAAACTTTGCCGAAGTTAATCTAATAAAGTAGATAAGCTCAAGTTGTTTGAGGATTAATATATCTAAGTTTGCAATTATATTGATTGTTCCGGAAACAGAGAGATTATTCGGGTTATATCTCAGGCGAAATAGAACATGGTACATTCCATTTTGGTGTAACTAAGGGGATTAACAAGCTAGGAGTGAAGGCTCCATACAAAAATTATGCCAGATGACCAAATGTTTTCCTCACAGTTCAAGACTCAGGCAAGTCCTCGTTACTGCCACATTTGGCAAAAGAAAAAGATCCTAATAAAGAGTCCATTTGGTTCGACAGAAAATATTCATTTTCCTGGAAAATCACTTCCTTTTCCATAATTTTCCGGTGTTTGGTTATTTAGTGAAAATACTTTCCAAATTCCTTTTTTCATAATTTTTCGGTATTTGGTTTGTCAGTGAAAATAGTTTTTGACTTCCTTATCTATTGTTTGTTCATATATTGCAAACATTTTCCTATTTTCAAAGCATTCATCTCATTACAAGTTATTTTTAATTTCTATCCATTATAATCATATTTATAAAATATTTATTCAAATTACACCACGAATTCTTAAATGAAATTATTAATGACACTGATGAATTGGTTTTTGATCTTCCTTTAAAAAAAAAAAATCATTAAAAGGTGAACCGTCTCTTTTATCAAATTGGATACCACAACATTTTCTTTAATGTCTCAAATCAGTGATACAAGAAAAAATTAGGTAACCTCTACACTAGAGGCAACATCTTTCGTGAAATGCACAAATTTTAAAACTAATCAACTAGGCACCTATTGCTATCAAAAGAGTTATGTGCCACAATTCCACATATCATATAAATCTATTGATGAAATTATCCAGAAATTCAACATTTATTAGTGCAACAAAAAGTTTACTAGCTTATTCTTTGGATTGAAATTTCATTTTCATTAGGTCTGCAGAAAATTTAAAAGGAAAAAAAATTCAGTACGAATCAATTGAACTCATAAATAATCTCAATGAATTAGCTCATAATTTGAATCGTATAATGATTCGTTATTCAACAATTATTCTTTTACGCTAACAATCGCAGTGCTAATGAACTCCTACAACTACCAGAAAGTAGCTTAAAATTTCAATGAATAAAGATATTTCAACCAAATGTTTTAGCCAAATGGAAACTGCGGGTCTTATTATCCAAAAGAAACATATATCAGATTATTAAAGAAAAATGACATAAACCACCAACAGATCAGTGCACAGGCTAAGTATCAACAAAACGACACACTGCAGCGCTGCAAAGGAATTTTGCCATCATCATCTCTAAACTTGCTGGCTGATGACCATCGCACCACTTCAAGAGCAATGGAATTTTGCCACAAACAGCTGTAAAGCAGTTTAACAATCTTAAAATGGCTACTTGGCTGTTAATCTCACTACTTTATAACAAAAACGGGTGCAAAGGAATTGGTATATTACTTTAAGCTGAATTCTGGAAACCTAGTACTTCCAAAACAAGGCAAGTGGTTTTCCTATAAATACAAAAGATAATGACAAAAAAAAAAAAAAAACACTATGCAGCTCAAGAGACTTTCCAAGAATGTGATGCTTGCTTATAACACAGTTTCTGTTGCTTCCTCTCTCAAATAAATTCATGGCAATAAACGATCCTCGCTGCCATCACATAGTAAGTACTGCATTCGACACCCCAATATTTCTTGAATCTCTCGAGAAAAATCAAACGAAGTCTTTGACCCTTTGCCATAAATGCTTTTCCCAGCTTCTCATTTTGCACTAAATGATCGAATACCAAGTCCACAAATTCTTCGCAATAACCTTCTATCTTCATAATCTGCCAACACATATTTTTGGTTTGGGCAGCATTCCTGCAATGGGTAAGCATTCAAACCAAGCTCAGAGTTATGTTCATGATTAAAACATACAGAACAAGTAGTAAGAGACGTCAACAGTCATGTTGTTCAGAAAAACAGTGGGTACAAGAAGGCTGAAGACTGGAATATATTGGAGTACTCATACTCAAGTGAATTTCAACCTAAAATTGGGGAAAAAAAAGCAATAAGAAATTTATTAAATTATCCGAAGTTAATTGCTAGGTTATCAATTTACGGCCAGCACATGTTAGTAAATATTAACTAAATTGACAAATAAAATGGTTGCATGGTTACATAACACAGAAGAATCTCAACCAAATTCATCCGCCAGTTCAACTGTCTAAAAGATGCACTATTCCAAGGTACAAGGGATTAGAATACCATGCCAACAACGATCTTCAATCTGCAAATCATGATCAGATATTTCCAAAGTCTTACCATAAAGTCTATAATACATATGGTAGTAGATAATTTTCCACTATATTGAAATGGCACTTAAGAGGGGCGTTAAGCATGATTCCTGAACTACCAAAAGCTGAATACTGAAGAGTTGACTGACAATCATGACCCAAGAAAGAATGTCCACAAATCCAAAGCTTAGACCACTCAGTCAGTCAAATGTTAAATGATGCACGCATCTATAACCAACTTGTAGAAGTCAAAAGCATAAGGAGGACTCTATATTACTTAATAGCAAGTAGCATATCAAACACAAAGATCAGTTCCCAAATGCAAAATAACATAACAAGCAATTTAGCCAGTCAAGCTTTTGCTTTTGCCAGTTGCTATATTCTCGGAAAGTAATTTTGTTAACCAGACACCAAAAAGATGCAACTGTAAAAAGCTTTATTTCTGGATATGTAAAGACTAATCCAAGAAATTTAGAAGGTGACTTTCATGGTCCAAGTATACAAAACTTGAGTTCTTCAAGTGCTGCACCATCCTCTCCAAAACCCAAAACTTAGGAAGCTGTGCAATTTTCTCTCCAAATCAACCTTTATTTATGCTGTATAAACTAGAATCCAAAAATAAGTTTTGCCACAAAATGTGCAGCCAGGTCATCAAACAACTTGATATTTGGTATCAGGTAACGAAAACTAATTATCATCTTCTTTAAGGACCAACTTAAGCAACAAGCCAAGCAGAATACCACAAAACATGCAGTCATTTAAGACACAAAATTGAAGAAAGAATAATTCGTCTTTGATGTAAGCAGATAATCAACTTAAGTAACAAGCCAAGGAGAATACCTCAGTATAACCATTACCAATACCCACACCTTTTGAATCAGAAAATAATCATAACTGAAACCTTTATCCTAGGAATTTACATCAATACACAACTTGCAGCAACACCAACACCGCTATTGCCAACATTACGCAGTTAGGTCTGCAACATTGATTCTAACAACTATGTCTTCTTTCGACAACTTCCACACAAAAAAAACAGAGCACTCTCCAAGGATCAGTTTCCACCAAGAGAAAATTGCTTAGTGTCTTTAAATAGTCACAATCAACATCTTGTTCATCTGATCATACTACAAGCAATAACCACTGATTACAACAAAAACAAGAATGTAAGCTTAATGAAACAGTCCAAGCTCCCATGTCCATTGTGCAGCTTCGTAAAAATCATTAAAGGACATTGCTCTAAACAAACTAGTATACAACACTAGAACACCAGCAAATGCCAACAATTGAAATCCACAAGAAGCTTAGGAGGACAAAATGATAATCCATCAACAACAGTAACAAACATATTCAATTACAACTCCCTCAATAGTCCATATCCTAAAGAACAAAATCTGCTCCAAATGAACAAACTGAATGCCTAAGTCAAGCAACTCTCCACCCAAAATCTTTAAAGATAGTCAGAATTGCAAGTTCAAGTTCCCAATAGATAAAAGCCAGTGAAATTAATAATCAGATTCCAAGAATCATAAAACCCCCAAAACTCAGCAGCCAAATTAATTCATTAGCATCAATCAAATCAAATGTAACCCTAATCAGGTAAGAAATAACTAAAACAAAAGCAACCCACAAAAATTCATTCCAATCCAACTTCAAGAATCTACACCAGTAATTCTAGACAATTTTTCAAAGGAAAAGGGAGGGAAAAAAAAACTAATAAGAAACCATTATACCTCTGAAAATACTTAAGGAGTCTTTGCCCTTGTTGGAGATGCTGTTGCAGGAACGGAGATGCTGGGCAACCGGACACCACTCCCGAAAATGCTAGTAGGCTGCTTGGCCCAGCCCATCTACAGAATTTAGGTTTTGTTGTACTATATTGGCCCATCTACTTGGAAGCTGCCGTTGACTTTTCAGCCTCAAGATTGCACCCGCTTTGTTTACTATTAAACTAAATTTTCCATGTCATTCAAATCCTAAATTTCTTGGAGTAAATCAATCTAAAGACCACTAAGTGCTATCCATAAGCAAGAGGAAGCTCGACACCATCCATTGGCTAATGAGGAAAGAATATTAGATGCTTCATTTTCAGTGTTTGATATTGTCACGTGATATACTAGTACCAATTATTGATCACCAAATAATGGTGACAGGCCACTATTATTACTTGATAATTAAGGATTGCTATTAGTGGATTAATAGCTGCAAATGGAACACGCAATACCCTCTCATAACACACCAAAAAAATTAGTGTACATGGAGCATCAGTGTAATATCTTTAATTCAAAAAAGTGCAAATATGTACAAATAACAAAGCAAAAACTGAGAAAATTTGGAATAATTTGTTTGTCAATGTAAATCGCATATACACCATCCCAAAGTTACCAATAATTTCACCACCAATACTTCACCAACTCAAAAAACCATCACTCTCTAAAAAGAGAGAAATATGAATATCCAATTAACATGATAAGAACGCAGAATTAACTTGCTAACAAAACAAATAAGTAAATTATAGGTGTTAGGAATGAAAAGATGTTATGAGAATTGTACAAAGCGATTCGGTTAGAGGGGCTCAAAACATATATTGCAAGTAACCAAAGCAGACTTGTAGCACTTGCACTACTGCTTCAAAGCTCTCAAAACCTGAATCCGCTCATGTCCTGACGATAAATAGATAAAATTCCTCTTACAAACGACATGATGAATTTGAAACACTGTAGGTTGAGACCCACAAAGTATACCACTCTACCACGCGACCTTGTCGACAAACTAATAGAGCAGGATATCCGCCAGATAGGACATTTGCTCTTTCAGCAAGAAACAGTACAACACAATTCATCTTATGCTTCAATTTTTTGAGGTTGAATTGTCATCTTCACGTTTGTCGTCCAAAGATTTTGGTCTAGAGCTAAAGATTCAAGTCTTTTGAAAACTTTCTGGCATGAGATGCCTAGCTTCTAACCCTTTACACAAACTGGTTGCCACTTCTTCTTTGCCATCTTTACAAAGTCCATTGCAAAGCTCTGATAAAGTACCTGGATCAGGGGAAATGGATCTCTCAAGCATCTCCCTCAAAACCATAGCAGCTCCATCATAATCCTCATTCTCAATGAAAGTGGATATCAGCATCCCCAGTGTTGCTTTGTTTGGATGACAACCAGTCCTTATCATGCTTCTGTAGAGTTGAAGAGCACGCTCAGAGTTCTTTCTAACACATTGCCCAGTTATAATAGCAGAGAAGGTAGAAGAGTTTGGAACAAATTTTTCTCTATCCAGCTCTTTCACCAGATATGCAGCTTTCCTTGTCTTTCCCTCTTTACATAGTCCCAAAATCAATGCATTGTAAGTGATTATATCTGCCTTAATACCATTTACTGACATCTCCTCAAAAAGACGACCAGCCATCTCACTGTTCTCCGCTTGGCTGTAACCGTCAATCAATATATTGTAGGATATAGTATTAGGAGCAACATCCATGGTTTTCATTTCCTTGAAAAGCTTACCAGCTTCGTGCAACTTCCCTGCCTTGCAAAAAGCATTCATGAGGGTGTTGTACGTAACCTCATTTGGACGGAGCACATTCTTCTCCATGAGCTTCTTGAGCTTCAGACTAGTGCTCAGAAGACCTTGACTACAGTATCCTGCAATCAATGTATTATACGATGCGACAGTTGGACTAATATTCATCTTCTCCATCTCCTTAAACACCTTAACTGCCTTTTCTGTATTCCCCAATTTGGTGAAAGCACCAATCACCATGTTAAGAGTATAAACATTTGGGGAAATATGGGACCTTTGCATTTCTTTGTAAAATGATAATGCAATATCAGACCTATTCAAACTAATCAACGAGCTCAAGTATGCATTGCAAGACTCAATTGTAGGCAAGAACCCGTATTCCTTCATAAGACTAAATGTGTCTGTGGCATTCCTAAACTTCTTCAGATGTGCATAAGTCTTGAACAATGCATCAAAAACACGGGGTGAAGAATCACAAATTCGATAGGAATACACTAAGGCCTCAAACAATTTAGAAGGAAGATCCAATGAACCCAAACTCAATTGAATGACTCTCCTAAGGATTGTCTCAGCAGACTTAAATTTCCTATTTTTAGTAAGAATATGCAGAATGATGGAATGTGTTTGAAGGGTAATTGAGCTCGAGTTCTTGAGTTCAACCCACTTGAAAAATTCAAGTGAAAGAACGTAATCCTTTTGCGTTCTCAACAATAAATGCTTAACTCGAAATGGGGTCAAACCAGAGGCCAATTTATCAAGCTTACACCAATCAAAATGTATAAGATGACTATGAGCAACGTTCACATAATCAAGGTCTTGGCCTTTAGGTTCAGGGATGGTTCCATGTGGCAGAGGAATTGGATTCCACTTCCTTTCTATCAATTTCGCCACATTTGTTAATTCCATAGAAGTTCTTGGGGTTGAAATTTTCTGAAATGGGATCTTTGGGGACTTCATCATTGGCTAAAATCACTTCCAAATGATTCTCGGACAAGCCCGATGAAAACTAATTGAAAGAAAGTAAACTGACAGAGCATGCAAACTCTTGTCACAAAACAATCCACTATCAATCGTTCCGAGAGAGAGGAGTTAATAGCCTGGCAAATGGAGAAGGGTCCCACTTTGCAGCCCACAACACACACCAAGCCATGGCTCTTTTCACAATCACCACATATTTTGATTATTGGAGGAGCCCAGAAAATTGCGCAGAATTTTCATCACAAGACACGAGATAAATACTCATTGAGACTTTTGACAAGCACCTCACAGACATACAGAGCATACCACCGTGCCACAGACTTTTTTGACTGCCGAAGCCACATTTCCAACGCTCACCCACCCAACCACTGACCCTTCAAAAAATTCGAGTCATAGAACACTTGAAACCGCAACAGTGGGAGGCCCTCAACAGTCAAAATAACCTCATTCTACCTTAGCTGTAGTGAAGCAACAAAAGGCATAACATGAGACTTTTGAGTTTTGTAGGTCTATTTCAACTAATTCACCATTTCTGTGTCTTCCGTTGCTGAAATTTATCCAAAAGATGCATGTATTTCAATTCCAAGCACTAAATTTTAGGGGTATGGGAAGGGGAGGTAAAAATAAGAATAATAATAACAATAATAATCTCGCTTCATTCGAGTACACCGACCAAAACAAATGGGGGGAAGGGCATGTTTCCTAGTGCAGGTTTCCCGGGTCCCCTTGACCGTTTTCGAGGCGGGCATATTTATTCTTCTAACCAATGTTTTAAAAACCAGACCGTTAATTGAATCGGTGAAGTGAAAGGATCGAGGTTCAACCGGTCGAACCGGTTCAATCTCGATTCAATGAATTTTTTTAAAAATTATTTATATAAATATATATATGTACAAAATAAGACATGTAATGGATTAATTTAATACTTTATATGATGAAAGGTTTACTATTTTTTAATAACTTGGATTTTTTAAAAATAAATTTTTTAAATTATAAGTTAAAACAAATAAATTTCATCTCGATTTCAATTATGTCTAAATCCAATCCAAAAATATCACAATATTTTAAAATTATACAAAATTCACGTCTATGAGAATTTAGATAATGTGAACTTAAATTTTAATTTACGTTTTAGATATTGCAATTTAAAAAATGAAGTTTGGAGTTCGAAGGAAGTGAAGAAAATTGAAAATAGAAATGTAAACTTGATAAAAAACAAAAAATGAGATAAAAGTGAGTGGTTGTAGCATTAAATAATTTGGGTTAAAAAAATAATTCTTTCTTAACTTTTTTCAATTTAATGGACAAAAACCAAATTCAAAGATGGAAGAAAACATCAATAAATTAAAAATAAAGAGGTTTGATTAAAAAGGGAGTGACAAAAAAAAAAGAGGATAGAGAGAGAGAGAGAGAGTTGAAAATTAAAAAGAAAGAGCCATGAGAGGATGAGATTTTGTAAGAAAAATGGAAAAAAGAAATATAAGTGTTTGCTTTATATAAATAAGTTATCAAAAAAAACTAATAAGATGTGACGGTGCAACGGTTAATACATTGGTCTTCTATTACAAAGATCTTGAGTTCGAATCTTGATAGCTGCATTTTACAAAAAAAAAAAAAAAAGAAAAAGAGGAAGGTTGAAAAGCGGTTCAATCGCGGTTTTTACGGTTCGACCGGTTCTTGACCGGTTTTCTGACAAAGTCAACTATGGCATTGAACCGGACCGGTGCCATGGCCGGTTCGCGGTTCAACCGGCCGGTCCGGTCCGGTTTTCAAAACATTGCTTCTAACCCATTACCACTTATTCTCCTGCTTTTAGAGCTGACTCGGCACAAAGAGTCATTACATGTTTCAGATCATATGACAAGATCACAATAGGTAGGTAGAATTCATTTAATTACAGGGCTAATTCATTATTCTGAAGAATTCATTTACTTCATTGAACAGTATCACTCAGGTAGTGGCAGTGCCATCATTGTTCGATTTTTCAGCTTTAGTCAGGGCTGTGAGACCAAGTATGCTGGCAGAGATTCTAATCTAAAAGCTTAAAAGTTAAAAATGGGATATTTGGTTTGTAACTTCAGTAATAGCTGAAATTAAATTGAAGACAGATTATGTGGTATCTTTGATTTTGCTTCCTGGATTTTTCTGAGTGAACTTTTTAGAAGCTCTAAAAGCAATGTTTGTCATGGTGGACAGTCATTTGCCTACTAGAAAAGGAGGGTAAAGGCTGGGGTATTCGCAAAGAATGGAAATTGATTTCAGAAGTGAAAGAGAGTGCAACTATAAAAGAATGGCCCAAGTGCAGGTCCCAATTCACACACTTTTGAAGGCATGGTAATAAGTAAAATGCTCTCAATCGAAAGTTTCAGGGACTTGGCACTATACCAAAAGGTTGATATCATGATTTTCAATATTATTGCATTTTACTGAGATCAAGAACTCCATGGCAAGGTATTTGAAGGAACTCAATGTATTTGTGTGGTGCATTAGTTTGTGAATTGTTACTAACTTTTACATATGATTGCCAATTAGTCAAGTAATCAACATCAGACACTGCTTTACATGATGGTTCGTAATTGGAATACTTCTTCAAGTGTATGAATTCATTTCCATATTCTGTGCTAACATGAGATTAGAAGTGAATAAGCAACTAGCAGCTCTAATCCAAAATAAACAACTGTTGGTAATAAGTAAAATGCTCTCAATCGAAAGTTTCAGGGACTTGGCACTATACCAAAAGGTTGATATCATGATTTTCAATATTATTGCATTTTACTGAGATCAAGAACTCCATGGCAAGGTATTTGAAGGAACTCAATGTATTTGTGTGGTGCATTAGTTTGTGAATTGTTACTAACTTTTACATATGATTGCCAATTAGTCAAGTAATCAACATCAGACACTGCTTTACATGATGGTTCGTAATTGGAATACTTCTTCAAGTGTATGAATTCATTTCCATATTCTGTGCTAACATGAGATTAGAAGTGAATAAGCAACTAGCAGCTCTAATCCAAAATAAACAACTGTTGGTAATAAGTAAAATGCTCTCAATCGAAAGTTTCAGGGACTTGGCACTATACCAAAAGGTTGATATCATGATTTTCAATATTATTGCATTTTACTGAGATCAAGAACTCCATGGCAAGGTATTTGAAGGAACTCAATGTATTTGTGTGGTGCATTAGTTTGTGAATTGTTACTAACTTTTACATATGATTGCCAATTAGTCAAGTAATCAACATCAGACACTGCTTTACATGATGGTTCGTAATTGGAATACTTCTTCAAGTGTATGAATTCATTTCCATATTCTGTGCTAACATGAGATTAGAAGTGAATAAGCAACTAGCAGCTCTAATCCAAAATAAACAACTGTTGGTAGTGCAATGCACTATCACAAAGGTCTTTTTTAGGGTCAAATACTTTTAGAAAGGGAGGAGAAGTCTTTTAGAAGGAGGTGATTCAAAAAGTGCAATCCAAGTATGTTGAAAGAGGAAGGATGCATGAATCTCAACTTATTATTCAATGAATATCTCATATATCAATGTTTATACATACCTCACTTGCATATTGAAGTAAAACACATAAGACAGATAAATAAAATAACAACAATAGCAACAAGAATGAAAATCATGACAGCCCATCTAATTTTAGCCCTCCACAATCAATCTTCTGTAAATGAATAATGTGACAGCCCATCTAATTCTAGCATTCTAGAACTCATTTTCTGTACACAAAAGATGTAAGATTTTGTCAAGCAAAAACTGGTTTAGACCTATATAACAACATGTAGCATGTAGTGTTCTTTTGAAGTTTTAATTACGCAGGCTTTTGCATCAGAGCAACTATTTATGAAGATAAATCCATTCAGGCATGAAAGCCCCATGGATAGAAATTAGAACCTGGCTCAGTTCCAGCTTTCCACAATGTGAAAAGAACATCTGAAAGCTAGTGTTTCTTGATGTCACTGGAATATCAAGTGCTCTCTCTCATTGTTTGTCCTGGCCTAAAAGTTCTAGACTTATTATTTTTAATGTCTAAACAATGTGACTTTAAATTTACATGCTTCCAAAATTAGGGACATAACCTCAGCTAAATGTGTACAAGTATAACTCCTTAGAAAAACAAAAACTTTTAACTTGAAAATGCCAAAATGGGACCAGAATAAGGTTTTTTTCCTGATATTCTAGAAGCTGGAACTTGGCACTTGGAAATAAAGTCAAGTGATGAAGCAAGCAGAATACATGTGATAAATGATAAGATTAAATGATTTAGGACAGATAGAGATATCATCAGAAACAGGGAAAGGTGCTCCAACATTTCCAAATCATCTAGACGTTTTAGAGAACTACGAAGCCTAGCCTTGACAGTGAATGAAGACTTTGAAATTTGCCAACAAGAACTCCATCAATATATTCATTGCTCGAGAAAAGGACCAAAGGAATTCATGAGTCTATCTGAAATTAAACGCTGATAAGTACTGCTATAAATAAAAGATTTGTGCAGCCCTTACAGAAGCTACCATTGCTTAACAACCCAACAAGATAAACCCAGCAAGTACCTTTTTCTGTTTTGGTGATATTGTCCCCAGTTCCCCAGGATGTATATGGACTATGTCCTGTGTAAGTCCGGTTTTACTTCTCGCTGCATCTTCTTTATTGGAGTACTTATTTGTGGTTTCTTGTATTTGCCAAGACGACAAACCTGAGTGATCATTTTACAACAGAGTCGTCATTGCCATTGGGTGATTCTCTTGCTGCTATGTCAAAACATTCATTGATTTGGGAATATATCCAAAGCCTTCTGTGTTTCCACGGTTATATTAAGTTAATGGAACTGAAAAGTTTAAGGCTGATCCGATAGAATTGGAGGAAGGATCTTTTTTTGGTTTCAAAGTTTTGCCTTATATTATTAATTAACCCCTTTTCAATCAAGCAGCTATGGCAAGAATCAGCCCATGGCTTCACAAACTCAATGAATGCACTAAAATGGTCTCACCAGATTGTAAGAAAAACACTACCCTACCCTAGATTCCTAGAATCATAAAACCGCCAAAACTCAGCAGCCAAATTAATTCACATTAGCATCAAACAAATCAAATGTAACCCTAATCAGGTAAGAACAAACTAAAACAAAAGCAACCCACAAAAATTCATTCCAATCTGACTTCAAGAATCTACACCAGTAATTGTAGACAATTTTTCAAAGGAAAAGGGAGGAAAAAAACCTAATAAGAGACCATCATACCTCTGAAAATACCTTCACCTTGTTGGAGATGGTGTTGCAGGAACGGGGATGTGATGTCGCTGTTAGAGTGGGGATGAGCCGTTGATATTGGCTGCTTTTAAAGGAAAAAAAATGAGAGAGAGAGAGAGAGAGAGAGATATGATAATTGCAGCTGATTTTTAAAAGGAGAATAACCTAATTGGAAGAGTAGCTTACCTCTGAAAATGGGTCTTCGCTGGAGCTGGAGATGCCGCCGACAAAGAAGGAATTGGTTTGCCGATGAGATGTCGCTGCCGATAGTCTTTTATTGATGGTTTCAGTCGTCTCAAAGTTTTTCATAGTCTTTTATTGATGGTTTCAGTTGTCTCAAAGTTTTTCATTGAAGGCTGTGAAAAGAAGAGGCTGTGATTTTACGAAGGGAAAATAACTTCACAATGATAGATAAGGGAGTTATTTTCCTTCTCTCAGTGTAACTTATTTTCCATCAGAAATCATTTTCCCAAATTAGATTGTGTCCAAACAGTGGAAAATTTGGAAAACATTTTCCCGTCCAACCAAACAGACCCAAAAGCTATATAGTTATCCGCTACCACTCTAATATACTTCTTATATACTCATTTGCTTCTATATACCCATTCTTATATGTAACTACCACAATATAAGGAGCTAGATTGTCATAAAAAGAGTTCAGCCTGGCAAATATGACTTTCAAATTTAAGGTCAGCTAATAACAAAACTAAAATAATTATAGTAGTTATACTAAGGATTAATTGAACCACATAGTTGGCCAATAATTCCAGCTATATTCATTGTATATGGCAGCAAATGAAAATACTATTGTAATACCATGGTCATAGTGCAATTAAGTATGAAGTTTATATTACATCAGTAAAATTGTTTAATTATCATCCTGCCTACGTCATGAATGACCTAAACTTTGCCAAAGTTAATCTAATAAAGTAGATAAGCTCAAGTTGCTTGAGGATTAATATATCTAAGTTTGCAATTATATCGATGGTTCTGGAAACAGAGAGATTATACGGGTTATATCTCAGGCGAAATAGAACATAGTACATTCCATTTTGATGAAACTAGGGGGATTAACAAGCTAGGAGTGAAGACTCCATAAAAAATTATGCCAGATGACCAAATGTTTTCCTCACAGTTCAAGAATCAGGCAAGTCCTCGTTACTGCCACATTTGGCAAAAGACAAAGATTGTAATAAAATCCATATAGTTATCCACTAACACACTAATATACTTCTTATTCCATTTAACAACCACAATCCGTCAGCAAATAGGTAATGCAAACTAAAACTCAACCAGTAGCAAAAGAATTGGGCAAAAATTTTCATCTAAAATAAAAATTAGAGCAACAAAACTTAGGAAAAATCGAAACAATTAGTCATCTAAATAATGAAACCAGGGATCATTGCACCCAAAACTCAAACAACTCCAAAAGAATTTAGGCAGGAATTTTCAGAAAAAAAAAAAGGAATATTAGGGCAAAAATATTTGGGAAGAAAATTAGGGAGAAACAAGAGAGAGAAAGAACCTACCTGTCCTACGGAAAATTGGTGAAAACACTTCCCCTCCCGCACCGGAGAGTCATGGTAGATCATGGATTTCACGTAGAGGCCAGAGACTGAGAGATAAAAGTGAAGGATAGAAATGAGAAAGGGGCAATAAATCCCAGCGTGGTTTTGCGAGAGACGTCAGGTGATAAAAGCAGCAAGAGATAAAGCGGGCACTTGGGCATTTGTGTGTGTGTGTGTGTGTGCATTTTTTTTTTTTCTTGGCATTTTCAGCCAAAAATATTTTCACTCTATCACGCCACTTTTTTTGGCCTTGGGTTTCAACAAATTTTTTATTTCACCAATTCCAATATTTTTTTAATGAAATTTGTACTATTTTCAATTTTGTTCGTAAGTATATATTTATGAAATTTGTACTATTTTTCAATTTTACTCATGTATTATAATTCATTATTTTCACTCTATCTGCCACTTTTTTCGCCTTTGGTTTGAACAAAATTTTGATTTCACTATTTCCTTCCTTAAGCCAAAATTTTTTGTGAATTTTTTTAAACTATTTTTCAGTTTTATTTGAAGTACAAGATTTTACTGATATATTATAACTCCTTAATTTTAACATAAAAAAGAAAAATCTTAATCATGTGTTGGCAAATTTTTTTAAATTCATACAAGTGGAAAAAAAATACTTTTATTCAACTTCTAATCATTCATACAAATGCTACTACCAGTATCTCGAGATTGCAAAACAAGAATATTGCATTTAATTTGGATAGGAGAAAATTTTGTTAGTTTCACCTAATAGTAGAGTATGGTTTTAGCTGTTTTAAACTAAAGAATCATGCATGTTATATGCTAAATTTGCATGAAGTTATAGTAGTAGTTCTAATTTGTTAGAGAAATGTGTATTAGCTTTGACTTTTAGCAAATCAACATTCATTTTTCAAGAAATAATAGTAATTAGTAGTCCTAATATGATTAATTATCTTTATACTATGACTTGAATAGTACTAATTTCATCACAATGAGTGATCCAATATATAATGTAGTAGAAAGTACTTGACAGTCAAATAATTTTATTGTTTCAACCACGGATCAACTAGATTTGAGGAAACCTTAATTTAGTGACCAATGTTGAGATACTAGGATTTAGACATCTTGAGTTCTAATCCTCCTTTTTTTCTTTCTTGCTTTTTAAATTCCACCCTTTCTTTGTTAAATTTTTTTTTTGGAAAAAAGATCAATTAGATGGGAAATTTTTTTTTCCAAAAATAATGTTTTTACTATTAGTCAAACATAAAACTTCACACTTAATTTATTACCTTGGAATAAAAAAATGCATAATTAAAGCAATGTAACTAAAGAGTTAAGAGCTTATCTACTTTAATAACTCGTTCAATTTAAAAGGTCTTGCAGGCTGACAATTTCTAGGTATTGATAAGTAACTACATATTTCTTAGTTTTTTAATAAATCATTCTAATTCAAGCATATTAATATGACTAATTTGACTAAAATAGTTAAATTTTCAAATTTACATGAAAACCAAGAGGCTTAAAATTGTAGGATAGTCAAATAGTTTCATTAGAAACAAATCAACATAAATAGTAATATATCATCAAAGTTGTAAAACTTTTAAGATATTTCAATGTTGACATATAATTATCAATAAGACTATTCACCATTGCAGTGAAAAGAAGGTACAAAGATTCAGTGACAACATAGTAAAGTTGTCAACAAAAAAGAGATAGTAATAGCGATGATGTGACGTCCCCACCTCTCCCTAGGGTGAACCCTAGAGTATCAACGGGACACCTGCCCAACTCTTGTCAAAACTCACGCACTCATTTAAGTTTAATAAAGAACCACAAGTCAATCATCGACTTAATTTAAAAATATTTTGAATATACAAGTCCCAAAACTCCCAAGTATACCATTTACAAATACAATTCAAAATATCCAAGTATAACAAAATTTGCACTTTAATGGTCTCCAATAACATACAAAAGTATACTAGTTTCAACCAAAAGTCACTAGTTTAGAATCACTAACTTCCACCTTCAAGTCCTGTTAAGCAAAACAAACTTAAAGAAATGAGTTAACACTTAATGAGGCCAAGAAAATCAAACAAGCAAGCAAGTAGCACCAATCAATCAAATAATATACTTGAAAGTAACATTCAAATTAAATTTCATTTGAGTGCACAAGTAGGAATTAAATACACATGGAAGGATACAGGAACTCTCAGGAACTATTTCCACGTCTCGACCGATTCACGCCATTTGGGGTTAACTCTCCGTCAACTTAAGAAGTAACATGACCGTAGCGCTCCACTTACTTTCTCAATCCAACATAACACCCACTCGAATCCGGAACCAAACATTCATGTAGTGGCGATACTATTCAAGTATGCCAAGCGAGATTTCAAAAGATCAAACTACATAATTTCTTAAGATTCACCAAACTTCTCGACCAAACCCTTGCCAGCTCGAGTTACGAGATTAGCCAATGAGTTGGAGCGTTCCCACAAGTATAGTTGGTTGATGAGACAATGCTCCAATCAACTTAGAATTGTTCATAGCTCTGAGCCGGTATGAGAGGCGCCTCCTACCCGATTAGGGTGTGGTACATGCTGCCGCTCAGAGAATCGATCATAGCATTGAATCGGTATGAGAGGCACCTCCCACCCGAATAGGGTGTGATACATGCTGCCGCTCATTGTTCACGAGTTAAAACATATTCAAGTACAAGTGCAAGTCATATACATTCATTTAACAAGTATCATTTAATCAAGAGAGAGAGAGAGAGGATAAGAGCGATAAAGTACACTCTCGTCTCGGTAAATTCACATATCATATAGCACTTGTACAAATATCATTTCAATCATAGTAACATTGAACGTGCACTTGATACTTACCAAAAGTCAAGGGTAAAACAACAGTAAAAGCAAGAGGTCAGACAAGCTCCTCGGCGTCCATGTGACCACCTGAGACATGTACAATCACGATTATCTAGATACTCGACCAAAGCTAATAAGAAAAATATTTTCTTACTACTCACTCTCAAGGTTACAAGTCCAACTCAAGTTAAAGGAGTCTTTTTCACTAAATCATTGAAATAATACTAAAAGGAAACTCAAAAGTCATTTTCGAGTCAAGTCTTGGCAAGAACCCTCAGTTCTAAAAGAAAGTATCATATTTACTTTCGACACGAAAATCGAAAAAAAGGAATATGGTTTCATCTCTCAAAACTTCTAGTCCTACGCCCAAGATTTAGAATATAAGGAGCGTTCACATTTTCTAAACTAATGGAGTCAGAATTCATCAAAACTCTATTCATTTCCATAGTAAATTTTAAAGTTAAAGGTTCTAAATTTCGAATATAAACTAGTGAAATTTTCCAAAAATTACTCTAGTTAAAAAAATCCATTTTTAGAGTTCAACATTATGGAAATCAAGGGTACAAGACTAGGGGTTGAAATCCATTTTTCAAGTATGAATTGAGGTGCAATTAACCAAGAAAGTTAGGCAACCAAGAAAACGCATCAAGAGAGGTTTAATCCTTTAGGAACCAAGATTTAAAATGAAGGTCTAATGTTCAAAAAGACCTTGTATCCATCCATGAAATCAAACTTAAAATGAACTAACAATCTCAGAGGAAAGTTGAGAGTTCTTAAAAGAGCATTTTGTTTGAAACCAGAAAATTTCAGTTTTATGCAACACAGCTTGGAAAAATCATATCTCGAGTTCCGTCAGTCTAAAAATTGAAAACTTTATACTTTGGAAACTAGATTTAATATACAAAAAATCTCTAGAAGACACTTTTCCTAGATTCAAATCCGAAATCATTCAAATTTTAGCTCCAACTCACTGTTCTAGCAAGGACAAAGCAAAACAGTTTTGCATTTTCAGTAAACTTTGAAAATTTGGCAAAGTTCATAAAAATAGAATCAACCCTTGAAATTTATACCACTGATAGAACTCCAAATTTAGTTTCAAACGCAATAAATAAAACTCAATTTGGACCTTTTTACACCAAGTTACAATAGTTTTAGAAAAGCTGATTTTTAGAACCTGATTCACGGAATTTTCAGTTTTGGAGCACCTGACACAGTTTCAAAATCTGGCCATAACTAAAGTTACACAACTCAAAATTTCATGTGGTTTGTGGTGTTGAAAATAGACTCAAAATGCCAAAATTCACTAGAAGAAACTGTTTTAAAATTTATTTTATAAGAGATGAGTGAAAATGAGCTACAAACTGTAGCTATACTTGTTTTTCGAATGAAAATAGTGAGAAAAATCAGTCAAATTTACCTGTTCACTACGGCTCATAGAAAATGAATTAGAAGGTACATTTTATACTGTTGGAAAGCACTCGGATTCTAGTTTTAGATGCCACAAACGGTACTTGATTTTGAATCCTAGACGAAAAGTTATAGGCTGATACGTACACACTAGTCTGGTATCCTGATCAGAAATTTTCCAGATTTGCATTCTCACTTTAACCCAACTTTAACTCAACCAAATGAAATACTTTTTGAGAGATAATTGACACACATAAACACCAACATATAACAAGCATTTTGTCGCCAAATAACCACAAAATTCAAAATTAACATGAAGGAAATAACCAGCAAAATTTTGGACAGCATGCTCCCTTTTTCTCTTCAACTTTTCTTTTCAACTTTTCCAACCAAAACTAAGCCATAATTCATCAAAACAAGCATTAAACGCACAATAATTTCTCAACGTCACGTAAGAAGCCACCTCAAGACATCTACATAGAGTCAAGGTTCATTGAACCCATCAACAACCCAATACTTAACTAGTTAAAACTAACTAAACTAATCATAAGTTGGAAGGAAAAATGAGAGCTTTGGGGTGTTACCTTACTTCCAAGAGATGAAGATCAAACCACTAGAGTTTAAGCTCTAAACCATCAAGGTTCTTTCCTCCTTCAAGTCTCCCTTCAACCTTCAGTGATGTTCCAAGAAAAGGAGCAAGTTTGGATGTGTTTTGGAGCAAAAATGGAAGAAAAGAAGCTGAAATTTTGGCAACAAATGGTGAAGGGTGGCTGGCCAAGAGGAGAGGGGAAAGAAAAGGTTTGAGTGAGTTGTTGGTGAAGTGATGGAATGAAAGGAAGAAATGACTTAAAAGTACTTTGGTATAAAAAGTAAATAGCTCGTTCTATATAAAAAGA